CTGTCTTTCAGGTCCCTGGGCTGGGAACTTGTGTTATTTGTATACTATCTTGATTTATGTTTATTTAAATAATGCCAAATATTAGTTTTAAATTTACAGTGATTGCTTTATAAGATGTTTCAAATCCTACCAGGATAAAGAGCTTACACTAAACAAAACAGCTTGTTTATACTAGTAATGCATCTCATAGGAAATACTTAAAATCCCACATGTTCAAAGCAGGACAAAATTACAGCCTATCTTTCCACAGAGGGTTGCTATCTCCTCCTACCAAGAGCCAGCAGGACCACATGCAGATCACAAGGCCTCAAAGTTCCAATCAGGAGAGGCTGGTCTGCAGAACTTCAGTAAAGCTGAGTTTTAATGCTACTTTAAAATAACCATTCACACATGCAAACCAATTACTGGTGCAGGTACTTCAGTGTGAAAGCAAAGGCAGAGCAACACCTTGTCCTTCTCTGAAGTACACTAAATATTTACACATTCCTACAAAGATGCCTCTGCATATCCAAGTCCTGTATTTTGTACTCTGGAACTGTGCTTGTACAAGGACTAGCAGAGCAAAACCCTCCTCTATAGCTGATGCTCTTTCGCGCTGGGATCACAAATTGAAAGTGGATGAGATAAATGCTTAAAATCATGGATCCTCAGTGAAATCTCCTCAGCACACTTTGCAGCCTCTCTTGTCCAGTGACTGCACAAATTTTCTCATCTATGTATAGACTGAAAAGATATTCCCCCAGTTTGTACACAAATGACAGCAGGTCAGTTTTGAAGGGGAAAGAAGGAGAAAGGCAGCACTCAGAACTCTAAGGATTATTTATGAACAAGCTGAAGCCCTATAAACTTGGCTATTGAAGAAAGACAATCCTCTCTAGCTTATGCCAAGTGGGTCAGACAGAGGAAGAACCTCAGCAGTCTTCAAAGTCGAAGCAGATGGAGAAGTGAATAAGTGCCCATGTGAGCAAAGAGGAAACAAGATTCTATTCATTTTAGCTTGTTTCAGAGCTTCAGTTTTCTAGATACCATTGACTGACACAAGCAGAGGAGCTCACTTCTGTAACAAGTATTAGAAGTGCAGAGTAATTACTTAAGACTGCTACAGATGCAAAAAAACCCAAAAAGTCCCAGTGTGTGCAGACTGAGGATGTTGCTTAGCTCAGCAGGAGGGAAACAGGTGAAGTGGAAGAAAGGTTCTAAGAGGCAAAGAATGGGAGAAACCTTCCTTGCTTTGTAACTATATAAAAACCTCTTGGGATTCTTTATCATTAGTGTTTTAGTATCAGAGATACAAATATTTATGTAGCTGTAAAGTAGGTTCTACTTTAGAGCTAATTGTAGCTCTAATTAGTGTGTTTTTTAAAAAAACACATAAGCTTGCAAGTACATTTTTTGCCCTTTTTGAAATAAAAGAGCAGCAGTCCACACATGCCACAGAATGACCATACATCACATTCCTTAAAAAGCTGAAGCTGACCTCTTGGTCCTTTCTCAGGCTTTACATCGCCAGACAAGATCTGGGCCAAGACCATTTCCATACACAGGGATGCATCTCTGTCTCAGGCTAACCTCATCATCCAAGTGGTGAAACCTATAACCAGTTAATCTCCCCCAGGATCATGATTGTGGAGCTGGGAATCCCTCCATCTGCCTCAGCAATATAGAAACATCATTGGCTGCAAAATAAACAGCCCATGAACCACAGAACAATTGCCCCTCCAGTCAATGCCACTCATGCCACCTACCAAGGGCTAATAATTTTTTAAGAGATCTCTCCCCCTAAAAAATACTTCATACTTTGAATAAAGACCTTGTGCAAGTTGACAACATGCAACTTCTTTTCAATCCATCCAAAGGAAGAATTCCCTCTCCAAATTCCTGGGAGTTTTGCAATCAGACAGAGCAGACCTTGAAGGACGACAGAAATACTTTGAATGGAGAAGTTTTAAACTGAGCTGGGAACAGTGGAAGGAGTATTCAGTGCTGCAGCTTGCTAGAGAGACACAGAAGCCAAGGACATCCGAGGAGATGCTCATCTTCCAAAGAAAATACTGAGAAGAGAAACAGGCATCCTTCCACCACTTATTTTAGGAGGTGGCTGCTGAGCTGCATCAGCTATTCCACTGGTGTCTCCATGAGTGTTTTTTGTCCAAGACTTCTGCTGGAAGAGCCAGAGCTGCAAAATTTGTAAGGAAACTCAACAGAAAGAGGCACTGAGGGGTTGAACAACACCAACCCACTTTGGATACACACAACTTCACTTATGCAAACTCAAGTGATCTGATATCTAAGGTGGGTCATGTGGGACACAGTCAAGATAGACATATGTATATTAAGTCTTTGCTTGTTTTTCCTGTGTGTAAGTATACATCAAGAAATTTGCTAAAATGAGAGGTATGAAGGAGAGGAGAGAGGCTGCACTATGAGTAACAGCAAGCAGGGGGAACTTCAAACTACAAGCTCTTTAGCTTTTTTTTCCTATTACTATTTATCATACATGCTGAAAAGTTAATTACCTTGCTTTAGATAACTGTTTACCATGACAACTATTCCTTTTAGGAAATATATCATCATTCTCACAGTAACTTCAGATGCTTTGAGATGCAAAGTGAGGACTCCCCCAAATCCCTCTCCCCACTAAAAAGATCCAAACACGGTAACCTTGAAGGACCATGCAAAGCTGCATTTGCTGAAGTCAAACCTTTCTCTGCATGCTGGTGTAGTTGGAGGAGGAAAAAAATATATATATTTTATATATATAAAAATATTTTTAAATTTTTTAAAATTTAATATATTTTATATATTAAAAATATATCTATTTTATAAGGTAAACTTATGCTGGCTTTTTAACAGCATGCGCACAAAAAGGATTTTTTTCTATGTGCCACGTACAGTTGACCTGGGTTAACACTACAGTGTGGGGAGCTGAAAAGGGATCACCTGATGAAACAGAAATACCTCCCTCCAAATTATATTGCTGGAATTCCAGCCAAGCACCCCAACCACAGCAAACAGTAAGAGCTTTCTGGAACAGCACACGTTCTGTGTCAGCAAAGCAGCATTAATACAAAACTCAACTCAAATAAAGGAGCACTGACCCTTTGGAAAGGGTGGGGCTTCATTAGGCTCCTACCACCCCAAAGACCACCAAAGATATTCGAAGCATTGCAAAAAAATTATTATATCAAATGGAGGAAAACAATGTCAGCCTTGTACATGTTTTGTTGCTGAATAATGACAGTGTTTACCTTCCCAGCCTAACACATTACTGCTCTGGACCCAGCTTTAAAACAGAGTACATGACAGAATTAATTATGCCCTTTCCTCTTAACTACCATTCCCTGGTTATTTATTAGTTCTGTCTGCATATATTCATAGATGTGTCTAATATACAGTTAAAAGGCCTTAAAACTGATGCCTAAATACTTCCCTCATTTGCAGAGTCCTCTCCAACCTCTGGACAGGCAGTGGCATCAACAAATACAGCCTCAGGCTGCGAATTAGTCACTGCTCAAGCAGCTGAAGGAGACAGGGGGGAACCTGAAGCACACTGCAATGGCATGTCTCAAGAGCAATGCAGTGCTGGATCCCAAGCAGAAATCTATCTCAGACATATTCTCAGAGGGCTCTGCTAAGGACTTTTCCACCTTTTTGGCTCACTCACACTTTGGAGTGCACCAGCCCATCCCCATGTGTTTCTGGGAAAGACAAAAGCTACGCCACACAAAATACCCTGAGTTCAGCATCCTGGCAAAGGATTGGCAGATAGATAAACCCCGATGAGCTACCTAAAATGAAAACTAAAGGGAACTCAAAAGCCTCCCTGCAGTTGTCTGTCATCACTCTCCTAAAGTCCTCCCCTGAAGAGGGACAAATACCAACGAAAAGCAGATTGGAGAAGACTCTTGCTTTAAGACAATCAATTTTATTTCACCAAGGTCCCTCATCTCAAGGAGAGAAGTTGCTGTGTTGATCATTCAGTGGAAGGAGATCAAAAGGAAGAGAGGGTGGGTACTACAGAAAGCAGAGATGGGAGAAAAAAGAAAAGCCTTTCACAGACACTTTGCAAAGAGCAGCAGCACTTTTGTCAGGGTAGATGTTAGGATACTGTATTCCCACCTGAACACTGCAGTTGCTTTTGGCCTCATCCAGGATCAACAAGCAACTTCAACAAACACATCAAATTAGCTGTATGTCTAGGAATTAACTTCTTGTCTTGCATCAGAGGTCAGTGAAGTCTTCTCTCCACCACAAAGGAAAACACAGTACATTTTGGTACAGCAGCACATTTAGCTCTTCCTCCCACCATCCATGGCACCGGATTCATGCCCAGAATGCCCCAAAGATAGAGAAAATTTAGAAATAGACAAGACCAGGTGTTTTCAATCAACACTCAGATCCTGTCAGTGACCAATTATGTGGAATCTGCATTTTAGATGCGTAGATGGGGTTCAGAACATCAAAGGGGGGTGTTAATTTTGTTCATGTTCTCTCCGTCTTTTGGGCTAAAAACAATATAAAACTCTCAAGATTTTTATGATTTTTCCATATCAGAAGCTCCTGCCTAAGGGTAAGAGGGAAGAGAAGGGGATGGAGAAAGAGCAACTGTATCTAAAAAACTGGAACCATGAAGGTTGCATTTCATAACAAAATGATGTTAAGTGATAGCAACAAGTTTACTTTCCAGTGGAAAAAAAAATGCAGAGCATCACTTGAAAAAAAAAAAATTAAAAATTGATGAGATTATGCAGTAATATGTAGATATAACCTGTATTTCATTATTCTGTACAACGCCCACTTCATCTGATTAAATAAATAAATGAGGTCCTTATGTCATACTAGAGGCATTACCCCACTTTTGTTTACAACATCTTTCTAGCCTTTAACCACAGCACACGCAGCACAGCTGGCTCAACATTTCTACCCAACATGCAAAAGAAGTTAAGATAGGGGAAGTGATTCTAAAAAAATCCACAGAAAAAAAATCTTGCTTCACTTACCTAAGCAAAGCTGTCATTAGAGAGTTTTCCAGTAATAAAATCCAAGAAAAAAAAAGCCTGAAAAAAACATAGAACAAGGCAAAGTTTTAGTACATAGGATATGACTCTCACTCGTATTTTTTTTCTTGGGAATTGGAAATGTCAGTGATTTAAAGAAAAAGTAACTTCACTCCATTAGTTGCCTTTCTGACAGTTATTTGTAACAAAAAGCTCCTCCTCAGACAGCCAATGTATCAGAAACAATAGGGCAGATTTTTCACTGCTGCTGCCAGCATTATACCAGTGCAATTCCCCAAATGTCAATCACGTCGGGCTGCAATAAAACTGGTGTTATCCAGCAGATAAAACTAGTGTTATCCAGCAGACAAGTCAGGCCTAAGGCAATTAGCTAAGCTGCCCCATTTAGATTTCCAGTCATCTCTCCCTCCCACTGAGCTGGATTATCTAAAAGTTTGGACCAAGTTGTGGGGTGGGAATCAAGAAGTCACCCATGTTCACACACAGAGTAAGGCTGAAGGTGGACAGAAACAAAAATGCTGCTTATAAAAGAGATACCCTAACCACCCCAAAGCAAATTGCAAAAGACTGAGGCAGAACAACACATGGCACTATTAAGAAATCTGGGAAACACAAGACCTCATTATAGGCATAAAAATCCAAAGCAAAGTACAAGTTCTGGCAAAAATGGCATGTGGCCATGACAGGTTTCACCACAATCACTGCTACCAAAAAAACCCAAAAGCTTGTTGAGACTCATGAATGCCGACTGGAAGAAAAAAAAAAAAAGAAATCACACACCCAAACTAACTGAATATGGATGACTGCAAGCCTCCAAATCAAAGAGGGAGTTGACCACTGTTTAGGAGGAAGAAATCATTGCTTGTTCCAAGATTAAAAACTTATAATTCTGGCCCCAGCTGAAGCACTATCATTCACTAATCTGCTGCAATTTAGTCGGGCTGATCCCCCGGCTCAGACAGACGGGGCATTATCAAAAGTTCCTCCATTCATTTCGCTTCCTGTGAGGCAGTGAAAGCCCCTTTTATACCCTCCTCCAGAGGCTGCTAAAGGCAGGGAAGACTTTCCGATAGAGAAGATAAGGTAGTTGGATTTATTCATGAGAGGAGGAAGGGAAGTTGTACAGGCTGATTACAGCTGCTCCAAAGCTGAAAACTAGAGGTTTGGAGAAGGAAGGTGGAAGATGATGGATTTCTTATTAAATAAGCATTATACCACTACCATTATTGTTAGAAGTAGCATTAACTCTCCTGAGACTTAACTACAAAATTGAGATTTTACTCTGAACTTGGCATCATCAAATATGCACATGTGGTTAAATAATTCAAAAATACATGAACGAGGCAGAATGCAGTATTTTTTAGGAGATTGAGTAAATATTTTTTAAAAAAACAGAATATCTAAGACCAAAGGATAAACTAGCCAGAGTCAGAGGGAAGACACCAGAAACAGTCTCCAGACTGAGACTGTTCACATATCATTTTCAGGGTCAGATCTTGTTCTTATTGTCGACATGAGCACTCTCAGACTTCAGTGGGGTAGGATGGTGATTTCCACATTACTTAACATGTGTCAGCAATTTTGAACAGTTGCTCTGCAGATTCTTAGAGCAAACCAAGCAAAACCTCACCAGGCAGAGGCCAGTAAAGTACTTGGTGGATGAAAAGCTGCCTGGAAACTCTATCAAGTCTCTGAAAAACATTCCCTCATTAACGTTCAAACAATCTGGTATAGTTAGAATAGTTTTTAAATGCAACAAGATGGAAATGCAAACAAAAACACATTTCTCAAGTTAAAAGAGGTCGAGCCAAAGCAGCACAGCTCTACCAGAAGTTAGGGCTAACAATGATGGTTACAGGGGTAAACCCTGCCTCTTCCTTCCCCCTTCCCAGACTATTCTTCTCCAAATGAAGGCACAAAATAAACAAGAATCAAAATATCCACAGCAGAAAATCACAAGCAGCTTTAAAAGAAAGAAAATAACTCAGCTGTACCTCATCATTATTCCATCCAATCCAAATACACATCAAGTCTTTAACTGTTTTCCCCTCTGACAATGCTAAATGAGAAAAATACAAGAAAAAAATATATAATTTTTTTAATACACTATTATGTGAGTGGGAAAACTTAAAGACACCAGTTTGAATTAGAGCAGGATGGAGTGTAAATCTCTGTTGGGCAGAAAGAGGGAATAACCAAATCTAGAATGGTATGAAGACCCAACAGAGATGGTTCACAGGCCAGGTGAAGTATCAATGGTACTGATGCAAATGGGGACAAGGCTGACAAATGAACTCTTACCTAGCAGAATACTCATATGCAATCAAACAGCATCAAGCTACAACAAAATCCTTAGCTTATTTTGATCCACCTCCTCCTTTAGGTTATTTTATATATACTAGACAAAACTTGAACACAAACTGTACAGATCAGTTCTCCCAGTGGTCACATTATTTCTTCTCAGTGATCAAAGAAACAGGGAATGAGGAGACAGCAGCCTCTTTCTATTCTCACCCCAGCCTGCATCTCTGCAGACACATCCGCTTCAGGCAAAGCTCAGCTGGCACCCCCTCTCCCCACTTTGTGCTCCAGTGGGACCTTGCCTGTTGTAACCACCAACTTCAATCACAAACTACAGCAAACTCTGCAAATGATCAGATTTAATGGGTACCTCAGAAAAAGCTGCCAAGTCTCAGATTCCCCCCATAATAAATAAGGTAATATTGCTCCCCTATCTTCACAGACACTTTGCAACACAAATCTGAAGGGACAACAAACTGTTATAAATCTCCAAGGCACAAAAGCAATTTTACAAGTTAATTTGCAGTTTCACACTATGAATAAGGCCAAATTTATCACAGCACAAAGGATGTTTCCTACATGTGGGAATGTCATAATGGGATGACAAGAGAGCCTGCTTGTTCTGCATGTTTGGTAAGACTGTTGTGTCTTTCTCATCACAAAACAACTCTTGTTACACCAATATTTAATTAAAAATAAGCAAAAGTCCACCCAAAATTTCCCACTTGCTTTCAGGTCCAAGGAATCCACTGTGCCAAGTCAGAGCTGATACTGCATCACAAGGAAATGAAGAGGCATGAAGGAGATTTTCCTTGGTCTTTTCAGCTTAGTAAAGACCCAACTGCAGCAATGTTACAGCTGATGCAAGGAAGTCAGACCAAGTCTGAACACTCTTCCCACTCAAGCAGACAGACTACAGAACACCACAGCCAGAGGCCCAGGCCCACTGGTACAGGGCTGGACACAACTCATTTTGTTCAGTGAAAATATGACTCTACACATATGACAATTTCAGGAAAGCCAAAAAAAAGAACAGGTTTACTTGGCTCCTGCAAAGTTCAAGCTGGTTGTTGTGATGATGCCAGGGTTTGGAGGTCGGTTTGGGTTTTTTTAATGACCCCAAAACCTAAAAGTTCCTACTTTTAAAGACCACCTTATGTTTCTCATAGCCTGGGTATGGATATACAGATGCCCAGTTTCTAGCATCTGTACTGTCAGTAATTACACTTGGACTACCTGTGACTGAAGGCAATGGAAGATTTCTATAGTAGTTTGCAATTCCAGCCTGCAATTCCAGCTTTCTGCACACACTGCAAGGGGCATGTGGCATTACCAGTGGCTGCAGCAGAGTTCAGAAAGAAAAATCAGCAAAGAAATCCAAAATTCAGAGGGCAAACCCTGCACATGGAAATCAGGCTTTGTAAACTCATGACGCACTGCAAGAGGAAGGATTTTCCATCTCATCTCCAAGCACACACTGCAGTGCCAGGAAGGTTAGAGGACTGCCAGAGCATGCACAGGAGGAGGTTTGTCTGCAAACAGAATAAACAGCCTTGACTAAATTCTTGTAACCAATTAAGCAACAATTCTTGACTGAGAAAACAGCATCTCCCAGCTCCCTGCCTAATCCTCAACTCCTGCTTCTTGAGCTGGCTTTAGATTTTTAAGTCTTCCATTTTTCTTCAGAAGCAGGAGACAAATGGATGCCAGTTCTGCAGACATCCTGGTTGCAAGGCTTTCATTTGCCTTTTAAAGACCATCAGTACTCAGAAGTGACTTAACACTAATGAGCTTTCACCAGCAAGCCTGCAAACATTAATACATGTGAGTAGGCATGCTAAATCCACTCAAATTACCTATCTGCAAGGCTCTCCTCCAGCCTGGACTGGACTTCAAGCCAAGGAATGATGAAATCTGGAAGGTAACTATGGATTTTCTCTCATCTGCATCCCTTTGTTAATCTACTCAGTGATGCTAAGCAGATGCATTTTGAATGTGCTGGTTCATCTCATGTAAAGGGGTGAGAAAAGGAAAAAGAGTCAAAATAGTACTTATCTGGAAAAAAAAGCAAATATTTTAAACTAAGTACTGCTACTGTTTGTAGAATGGCCTGTAAGAGAGATATAGCTGAAATTCCTTTAAATACATGTGTTCAGTTTTTGAACTGCAAACAAGTCAATCTGACAAACCAGCTCAGTTAGGATTGCTCCAACAAAGCCAAGGGTCTCGCCCCCCACCCTTTCCCTAAGTAAGCCAGCACAAGTTTCTGGCATAGGCACTGGTGTGTGAGATTTTAACATTCCCGTTTCCATAAACAGTCATACATCAAGCTCTAAAAATTTGCTTCACAGAAACATTTGCACTAGTAAAACTCAATTATTCTAATATTTGTATGACACATGCAGGAGGGGTACATAAAAAGGTTATGGTGAGCTCATTTAAGAATTTAAACAAGAACTTGATAAAAAGGTTTTGAATTATTCACTCAGCTCAACTATTAAATCAGGCTTCCAAAGGAGTCTTTAAACAACAGCCCAGAAGACGCTGTATTTATAACAAAAAGGCAGCACTGAAGCCATCACACTGTCTCACAGCACAAACCATTCATAATTACACTGTAAATGTACACAGGCATGGTATCGTGCCTTGGTCGCAATCCTGCCAGATTAACTGGACACTTTAAACATTTATACAAATATTCCTGTCTGGAGAGGCAGCACCACTTCTGTCTAAATATC